CGTGATTGTACTCTAAATAAATAGTCCCTTGAAATATATCCGCATACGTTCCAATTGATCAAAATTGTGTCTCTATTTCATTGTATTTGTCAATCCATGGGCCAACACATAGTTTCAAAAACTCTTACAAAATGACCACATATACAATAGTTAAAATGCACGCTACAAATCAGTGATATAATAACCATGTAAATACCATATACGCACCCCTTTCTTGTCAAAAAATAAATGGAAATATATTAATGAAATACTTTTTTAGGGTAACTTGATAAAAAAAGGTCCATTATTTCTCCAGGTTTAAGTTTTTCTTGAAAATATTTTTATGCTTATTCCAAATTGTATACTCCAGTATTTACTACTCCCTCCGGTCCCTTATACTGGCGCACATGCATTTTTCGTTTTGGTATAATCAACTCTGTTTCAAACATTGGTTTTGGTCAACCTAAACCAACCAAAGTAACAAAGTTGTGTTTTCTCTCACAATAAACCAAAGATCGGTAGGTCAAACCAAAATTTAAAATCAACCAAAACTAACGGGCCGAATATCTAGTGGAGTGGTAATACCGATAGTAAATTAATTAGTCTATCATTTAAACGGATGGCCAGGAACGAAGCGTTGCATGCACGGTGCCTTTTTCACCTACGAGCGATGAGGTAGGAATGCATGCGGCGCGGTTATTAACATGCAGTTAATACGTTTCTTGGCCTTGCCGCGCTAGATATACAGGACCGGAGGGAGTAGTACTCAACATTGTATACTCCCTGAAGTTAAGGGAGCACCGTTCCGAAAATCCGCGTCGGCAAGGAGCTGCCAGCCAAACCGTCCGTGCTCCGTGGTCCTCTCCTATGCAACGGCGCCTGGTACACGGTCGGGCGTACGTCCAGGGCCATCAGGAAAGTGGCTGTGCCGCCGCTGCCGCAGGCGTGTGGTGGAAGCGGCGCGGCATCACGCGATCCGCGGGCAACCGGCGCGTGCCGGTGCCTGCCGTGGTGGTGGCGGCGGCTGTACTGCCTGTCGGTCTAGGGCCAGCGGCTTGAAAAATAAAAAGAGGACCGGAGGCCTGCGTGGCCGGTGGGCGCCTCGCCTCGGTGGGGGAACCCCCCGGCCTCGCGATCCAAGCAACACGCCCGCGGGCCGGCTGATGCCGACATTTTGGTGGTTGGTGCGGTCCTCTTCGCGCCGCACGCTGATCCTGATCTCGCCGTTAGCGCGCGCGGGCGCGGCCGTCCGCCCACCGGTTCACGCCTCTCATGTGACGTGATCCGTTGATCTGCCGCGCGCGACTCGGCCGTCCGGTAGTTTTCCCTTGGATTGGATGACCTGACCTCTCCCGCGCGCGTCTTGTTCGTCTTCGTTGTTCCCCTCTTGGATCGGATGACCTGACCTCACGAGACGAGATCGAGGCTGAGCTTAGCAAGGAGCACGTACGAGCAGTAGTTGTGCTAGCACTGGAAGCTCATCTGTCGCATTCGCAGGGGATTTGCCAGATCGGCTGGTTCTTGTTCTATCGACTCACAATATACGGAGTATTCAACTCGGCATTGAGATTTGATACCGTTTGGAGAAGGCCAGTGTTTTGCGTCTCGGAAGCACCGCTCTGTGTGTACCATGCATATCAATTTATTAATTCATTTATCTTCATCTTGTACAACTCTTTCAAAAAGAAACACAAGGAAATTTATCTTCATCTTTTCAAAAATAAACACGAGGAAAACAGTCTTGGATTAAGTACAAGTTTCATATTCAAATTCATTAAGTTTCATATCCAAATTCATTATATCCCTGCATTCATGCTTGAACCGGAGTACAGAGTACTTTGAAAGCATGAGGCTGAGCTCTGGTACTTTTGCTTCAGTATATATACGGCGATTTTTGTAACTACAAGCAACGTCAAGAAGGGTTTGCTGAAACTGTATCGTCACACCGATCAATTGGTAACGAATAATCATGGCGTGTGCTGTCCGTCTATCGGATCGAAAGGCAAGAAATTCGGTCCACCTTTCCTACCATCAGCACGCACTTCCCCGCACCAGGGGGGGGTTGGCGGGGAACGTCACCACCACCTTCCAATCGAGAGCGAGCCTTTGTCCGCGAGCGGCGTATCTTCCGGCACCAACAAGTTTCCGCTCGCGACACGGTTCGCTCAAGTTGACGATCCGTTTGCGGGCGCAGGCGCGGCGTGGAGACTGGAGACTGGAGAGGGAGGCGTGCGCGCCTGCTCGGGATGGATGCAACGACAGCGCGGCGGTGGAGGCCGCCGCGGCCCCACGTGTCTTTACGCTCCGCTGCGTGCGCGGCCGATGCCGACGCCGCCCCTGACCCCAGCCAGGGACGCACGGATCGTGATGCGTCGTCTTCCTCTCTCGCGGGGCCCGCGCGCCCGCCCACGACGTGCTCGCGCTGCCTGGCGTGGCGTGCCGCTCCCTGCAGTGCCCCGCTCCAGGTGGGCCCTCGAGCGGCGGCTTTGCCTTTGCGTCCGTCTCCGTGCGGTGCTCCCTTCGCTTCTGGGATTTCTGAGGGATTTTCGTTCCGCGCCCTCCAGTCTCCCGTTTTTGGCTCCGTGCCCTTGCTCAAGAGCTTGTCACGGGACTCAGTTGCTCTTTGATTGCGATACTATAGCTGTTAGTTCAAACTAAAATTACAGTTTTTTAACAGAGAGAGAGAGAGAGAGAGAGAGAGAGAGAGAGAGAGAGAGAGAGAGAGAATAAGGGCATGTTTGGATTATATTCTAAAATTCAGATTTTCAATAAAAATAATCTTTGATTTTTTCTTGGATTTTGTGCATATGTGTAAGAATCCTAGGGTGTTTGAATGAAATTCTAAGATTTTGATTTTTTTCCTATCCGCATTCTTAAAATCCCCATGGATCAAAATGCTAACACACCAAAGTCTAGATTTGCTGATGACACTTTCAAGCAAGAAACCAAAAGGAAACAATATCATGTCTTACTATCCTAATTCATGGTCTACTCCATTAGTACTTTGATGGATCATCCTGTGCTCGTAATTTTCTGGCATAGTTTTTTCAACGGCTAGTTAAGAGGAATGGAGCAATATATATGAGGTTACATCCCTTTTTCAGTGTAATAGAGGGCGCCGAGGATGTTGTACCTTAGAGCAAGTGTTTCCAAACTCGACCCATCCCATCAAGGCATTCAAGATCACATCAATAGACTATAGTGCATCTTTATGAGAGTTTGGCTTTAGAGCTCGAGAGCTTCGAGTAATTGTGCCATGTTTCCATTGTATCTTAGAGATCTTGAGCGTTTTGATGTTTTGATGTATCCGTGACCTTTTAAAGGTTAGGACATGATTTTTGGGTTGTGAGACCTTCAAAACACAAGATGGTTCACAAACTAAAATTTGAGAGAACACACAGATAGGCTCTAAACTATTTAAAGAGCATTTTTTTCTAGCATGCATGATATATTAGTTACTAACGAGTGCTGAAGAATAGGGCGATTGTATACTAATCCAAGTACTACTGAAGTAGTGCTGAAGAATAGGGCGATTGTATACTAATCCAAGTACTACTGAAGTAGTGCTGAAGAATAAGGCGATTATATACTAACTAGTGTCGTGAATCAGTTACCACTTAATATATCCTTTTTAAGAGCTTTTGCTTGGACAAATTGATTGCCTCAAATAACCTAGTACAACCAATGTTCATCTTTATAAAGATGGGGATGTGTTTACCTAGGACCTTCATAAACGTAGTCCATTTCAGTATGCTCAATTACCAGTATATGATAAACCAGTGTATGTCCTCCACGAATAAGTGCATATGGAAGATGGAAATTCCTACGAAGACGAAAGTTTTTCTTTGGTATCTCTAAAGGGGTGTCATTTTAATAAAAGATAACTTAGATAAAATAAATTGGAACGGTAGTTATCATTTTTGTGTTAGTATAAAGAAACACTTATACACCTATTTTTTTATTACGACCCATATAGGAGTACTTGGGAATTGATTAACAAACGTAAGGGAAAGGATTGATGTTTAATCTTTATGGATGGCAAGCATCAATTTTATGTGTTTTGGTGTACTTCTACTGATCTATTTTTTGAGTAAAATGTTAAGATCCTTTTTGCCGCTTACCTTCAAGGGAGCATATGGGTTGTCTTTTTATAGGTGATGCTGTAGCTTGATGACAAGAAATAAACTAAATATTTAGTTAGCATAATTTTAAGGGTCAACTTGACATTGCTCCATAAACTTTACCGTGAAGCAACTCTAGAAAATCCTGAAGTGACTGCTCTCATAACTCTATTTTTTCGTATATATGGCTGAAAAATATGAAGTGAAGCTGTCCTAAATAGGCCCTAAAAGTCATCATCTTAGATGTGTTCGCAAGAATAAATGGGAAAGCAGTGATATGGTATAATTTTATTTTTTTCATTTGTATTCTCATTTCTTAATTTGTGATCAACAGGTGATCTAAAAGGCATATGAGAACTTCGGTGTATTCAGTCGCCTAGCACAGGGCTTTTTCCTTCTTAAAAAATTAATATACTAGTTTTTCCCTTTTTTCCAACATGAATATAATAGTTATATGGACAATAAACTTAAAGACGGGTTCACTTTAGGAAGAAGACCCGGCAGCTATTGCGTCAAGACCATGAGAGTCTAGGGACCTAAAAGAGAAACGGCACCCGTAACATCCTGCCATACGTTACGTAATTTTGCAGGCCGGCAGGTGGCAGACGCGCAAAAACGGCTGCCTAATTTTAATGGCCGCCTCGCTAAAGACGAGGGGCGGCGGCGAGGAGAGGACAGGACAGTCAAACCGCTCGCTGACTGCGCCGAGTTTTATTCCCTCTCGCCGCTCCACCACTCGCGCTCGGCTTTCCCCCTGCCTGCTGCCCTTTTTTAACCCTCCCGGCTGCCTATAAATACCGCCCCCTCCCCGTCGCCTTATCCTAGACGCCACACACACCCCCTTGCCCACACCATCTCGCTGAGCCGGAAGACCCGCGCACACACGCCACTTGTAACACCATGGCGCCCCGGGTGGCGGACAAGTCGCCGTTGCCGCCGGCCACCGGCCTCGGACTGGGCGTTGGCGGAGGAGTCGGAGGCGTGGGCTTGCGCCCACACTACAGAGGCGTGAGGAAGCGCCCCTGGGGACGTTACGCCGCGGAGATCCGCGACCCTGCCAAGAAAAGCCGCGTGTGGCTGGGCACGTACGACACGGCCGAGGAGGCCGCCAAGGCCTACGACGCCGCCGCCCGCGAGTTCCGAGGCGCCAAGGCCAAGACGAACTTCCCGTTCGCGTCCCAGTGCCCCGCCGCCGCCGCCGGTGCTGGTAGCCCCTGCAGCAACTGCACCGTGGACTCGAGTGGCGGCGGCGGCGGCGGCTGTGGCGTCCAGGCGCCTATGCAGGCCATGCCGCTGCCTCCGGCCCTCGATCTCGATCTCTTCCATCGGGCGGCCGCCGTCAACGCGGTCTCCGCCGGCGGCATGCGGTTCCCGTTCAAGGGCTACCCCGTCGCGCGCCCGACCCCGCACCAGTACTTCTTCTACGAGCAGGCAGCGGCAGCCGCAGCCGCGGCCGCGGCGGCCGGCTACCGGATGCTCAAGGTCGCCCCACCGCCGGTTACCGTGGCCGCCGTCGCGCAGAGTGACTCCGACTCCTCGTCTGTGGTTGATCACACCCCTTCGCCTCCCGCGGTGACGGCACAGAAGGAGGTGGGCTTCGAACTGGATCTGAACTGGCCGCCGCCGGCAGAGAACTAGGCACACCGGGAGTTTTTAGCTGACGACTTTCTTTTTCCCTTTTGCCTTCATCAGGAATGTTACTTCTGGTTGTTTGGTCCTGTATTCTTGTTCTGTAGACTATGAGATGGGGAGCCTTGTAAATAGTTTTTTTTTTCCGCCGAGACGGAAATGATCTGAGATTTGTTCGTCTGTCTGGGCAGATCAAGCCGGCGTTGATATGGGCTTAAACCATGGAGTATTGATTAGTGTAATTCCTAAGTACTGAGAATATAATATTTGTTGAGGAAAAGAATGACCCAAAGAAATCTGTCTGGAAAAGCTTCAGACGTTTCCTTTCGATCTTTCCATTCAAGAAAAGGTGTCTAGCTTGGTTGTGAAACACCGGTCGCCATTTATTTGCGCCGCTGCGTTTGTAACCCCAACAAGTATTTTGTTGCCGTCACGGTGACACGACAATTTTACTTCTGGTTTGGTCAGGGACGCATCTCATTCAGCATGGCCTAATAACTCGACGAAGCTTGTTTCCACCTTGACTTGATGAGGCTGATTTGGAGCAACCGACGTGCTCATCAGCCGACCGCCGATGGGTTTGCCGAGGAAGCAGAACTGCAGAAGCATCGTTATCTGTTTCCGCGGCTTTCCCCGCTACAGTACGCTATATAACGACAGTAATTATTGTTGTCATTCACCGCGGCCAATTTGCGGCGACGAAATAATTTTCAAATCCATGGGTCATGGCAGCGTCGAGGAGACGGCAGGCAGGCGTCGAGGAGATCTTGGGGAAGAAAAAGGCAGATGCGATGGAGCGGCGGAGTCGTGGGCCTCGGGCGGGAGGCAGGTGTGGACGGGACGACTCCTCGAGCAGTGGGGTGTCTGGATCTTTCCGCACCGGCGACGATCTGTTCGTACGACGGAATCGCGGCTGCGTTGTGCTACTCGTGACCTTGAGAATAACGTGTGCGTGTGGGCGGGGCCCCGGGCGACACGTGTGCGCGGCGGCAGGCCCCGTCGTTGCCGGCTGCCGGATCACCTGTGCGCGCCCCACTCTGGGCGGACACCCGTGGTTGGGCGCTCGCGTCTCGCGCGGCGCGGGCGTGCCGGATCCGCGGCTGGGCCGCGGCCGTGTTCAGTGTTCCGTGTTCGGGGCGGCCGCGTCCGGATGCGGCGCGAGGACCGGGCGTGGTCTCGGGCGACAGCTGTGGGCCTGGCGCAGCGGGAGGGCCGGCATCAGGGGGCAGTGATTCGCGCGGCGGCAGCTTCTCCTCGTCGTGGGGCCCACCGCGCGCCGCGCCTCCGGAGGATTGCCGCCGCTTTCCGTTGTTTTACTAGTTGCTCGCCGCCTGCATGCTTTGGTTTTCTTGGTGCACCTAATAATTATGTATGCGGTGCATGACTGCGTACCATGGGCTACGGCTATGCGACTGGACTACGCCTTTGTTCATCGATCTGTTATTTCAACTAGATTTATAAAAAAAATATTAATATTTTTTTATTTAAAAATATATTCCAGAAATAATCTAAACGTAAACTTCCTTCTGGCCTTTATAATTTAGGAATAATAGATTTGCAAAAGATCTCAAAATCACTAGCGCGGCTAGTAGTACTACTTCGACCTTTGCTGGACGGCAGGGAACCCACGCCAGAGGGCAAGGTTGGAATCAATCAGCAACGGCGGGGCGGCCGTTGAAAAGCAGTGGCGCACGTAATGGGGGGGTGTGGACGTGTGAGGGAGGGAGGGGGAGGTGCGGTGGGGAGTGTGGGGGCATTGACTGAGACGTGCGTGCACGGAGGGGGCACCGATCGGCGTTGATGGCAGGTCGGGACCATCGCATGCAAGTGCTCGTACTACTAGTACTGCTAGTTGGGCGGAGTAGCGGCGGATGGCGTGGCGGAGCAGCGCGGACACGGAAAAGGGCGCGCGCTCCGCTGCTCCCACGCTCCGTGTGGCGCCGTGTGCGGCGGCTTGCATCGCCGCGTGGCCCAGTCGTAGCTTTGGATCCAAGCAACGCCGCCAGGAAACGGAAACCGCAGCGGAAGCTACGAGAAAGGCGAGCGCAGAGAAACCGCGGGCCGGGCCGGGGCAGGCCAGGACAGGCGGTCACGGTGGGCGTGGGTCAGGGCTGTTTGGTTGCACGCACTAAATTTTAATACGCGTCGTATAGGTTATTGACACTAATTTAGAATATTAAATATAGACTAATTATAAAATTAACTATAGATTAAAACTAATTTACGACACGAATCTATTAAGTCTAATTAGTCCATGATTTAACAATATGGTCATACAATAAATATATGCTAATAATAGATTAACTAGGTTTAATAGATTCATCTCATAAATTAGTCTCCGTCTATGTAATTAGTTTTATAATTAACTCAGATTTAGTCCTTTTAATTAGTATCTGAACGTGTGACGTGACAGGAACTATAACTTTACTCTTTAGAACAAACACAGTGCCCCACGGGCGGCGTCCTCGCTGAGTCCTCCCGGCGCTACGCCACGTTTGGCGCTGTGCGGCGCCATAAAGTAATGGCCGGCCAGCCATGCATGTAGATAACGCCTCCTTTTGCGTGGGGGCAAGCGGGCAGCGCCGACCGCCGAGGGCGCTGTCCCGCTGCTGTGCTGCGCGCGGGGCGGAAACGTACGCGTTGGTAAATTGGTGGCGGGGTCCTTGAACCGCCGGTCTCACTGCGCGAGGATTTGTCAAGCCTGGAGGCTGGAGCCTGGAGGAGCATACTCCTAGGCCCGAGGGGGGTGGGGCCGTAGGAGGTGAGAATTTAGTGGTGGCGCGTACGTACACGCATGATCAGGCAAGCAGCCGCTACCGACACGCTTTATTGGGGGGGGGGGGGGGGGGGCGGCATTCACGCTGGCACGCTGCGATCCTTTGTTGCCGGGCTCTCAAGACATTGCATTGTTGCGAGGGTACAGTACTCGGGTAGGTCACGAAAGGGATTGCTCGTAAATGTTTCGAATGGTGGTTCATCATGTGAAAATTGACTATGGCTCTCACTCCTACTGTATTAGGGGCAAACGATCAAAGGGAATCTAAAGAAATTTCAAGTGAATAGTTTTCTATGGAATATTTTCAAGGCCAGCTGTTCCGAACGGAGGACCAGTGATTTCCATTTATAAGGGAAGATGAACTGTCCTACACATACGCAGGAAGGAAGAACATGGGCTCACCGCTCACAGCTAAAGAAAAAATGTCCCTGATTTCCAGAGCCATTCCGCTGGCGATTCTGGAGACAATCTGGATCCCATCTTCAATCTAGGCCACCATGACGGTGAATCCTAGGTCTGCTCCGCCGGTGACCATCCGATCTCGACGTCCACACCCCGCCCACTGACTCTCATTCGGCGGCCGCCACCGCATATCGCCGATTAGCTGTTCCTGGCACCGGCAACCAAAGATTTCTAAAGCCCTAATATCCTCACTAGGGTCTTTGCGCCGCTTAGGTCTAGTGTTTGGGATCGTTGTGTGTCTCAGATCACCCATGGTGCCCCTCCTTGCCAATTCGCATCTATGGTGTCGGCTGGAGGTTGAAGGAGAAGGGCAGGAATGCCTCTGGTAGCTCTGAGGGCAACGCCAAGGCGAACATAACTGACCTCCTACTGAGACTTGATCTCATGGAGGATGAGGAAGCGGCACTGAACTTCAGTGACAATGAAGGGGATGCGGTGATCCCGCTAGGGGAGTGGGCGGTGGTAGGAAAAGTATTGTTGCCGACAACCGTGAATGTGAATATAGTTCGTGCAGCCAAGAAGCCTGCACAAGGAACCCTTGTGGTCTCAAGTTTTGAGCCATTGGAGAGAGAGGTGACAATCTATTTGTGGCCAAACTGGCAACTCCTCTTCAGGATCAGGTTGAGTATCATACCACAATAACCTCCACAACTCAAGGTAACATCTCGTCATCGAAGTACATAATAATTCAACAGAAAACATATATTACAATTCTTATTGAATTTAACAAGTTAATTATATAACATTAAAGAAGACATTGATTCAATGCAATCATATGTAGTGAAGACCAACACCGCTATGCTACGGATCACTCATATAGCTAATAACTAATGGTCGCCTTGCCCATGGCGTCGCCACCACAATCTGGACGGCTCCTGCCATTCACCCACTTTGTCACCAACGTCGGGGTGAGATGGTCGCCGATGTCCTTTACCTACAAAACAACTTAATGACAGCACCGTGAGTACATTGCGTACTCGCAGGACTTAATTTCAACACACAAATATCTGGTGGATGCAAAGGGATTAGTAGGCATTTGTACAATTGTATAAAAGCATAAGGTTCATTAAAAGAATGATATGCTCATGATTCATAATTAAACATTAGCAATAGAGTTAATGATAACAACGTAAGTGATCATCATAGGTAAGCCATATCATCATCAACACTACAATGGGTATAGAAGAAGGAACAACCGGTTCCGTCCCGAAGGACTTCAGGCTTTGAAACTCTGCAAAGGTGTACAACTGTACCCACACGGAGACCGGGACGCACCACCATACCCGAGCCTGGGTAAGGGGTGCCTCATGTTCTCCAACCTTTCCCTAATCCGGCCAGGATATCCAACGAAAGGTTCGACTGGTTCTCCGGTCAATGTCCCAGACATTCCCGACCGACGCTAACCCCCTTGCCAGTTTCACAGATAAACCGACTGCATGGGACAGGTGTCGGTGGCGATCTGACGGACAGTCCGTCGTGAATGACGGACGCTCCGTCTGCGCACGAGCACATCTGTGTGTGTCAACATGTGTCGACAGACAGTCCGTTGTGGGTGACGGATGATCCGGTATAAACTGGGTACTCTTGGGTTACTAGGTTACTGTCCTCTATAATTTATCGGACACTCTGTGGGATATCGTGGACACTCCGTTAGTGCACAGGTTGGTCAAGATTATCCTAAGTCTGTGAGATATCTTGATGGACGATCCGGTGGTGATGTTGGATGATCCACCAAAACTGTAACACCCTCGGTGTTACGCCCTAAACAAAT